GGGATTTGGGGGTGCGGGAAGGGTGGGAGGGGGGTGAGGGAGAAAAGACTACACATTGGGTACGGTGCACACCACTCGGGTACTCGGGTGACGGGTGCACCAAAATCTCAGAAATCGCCACTAAAGAACTTACTCATGTAACCAAACACCACCTGCTCCCCACAACTATTTAAATAAACATTAAAAAAAATAGGTCTAGAGTGAGGTCAACTGTTGAGGCCTGGGAAGGAAGTGAGGGGGCAGGTGGGGCCCATCTCAGGCCCTTGGGGCTGAAGGGAGCCAGGGACTAAGAGGTGAGAGCCAGGTGCAGGCTTCAAGGAGACCCCCAGAGACTCTGTGGCCTACAGGGGAGTTGGGGGTGGCAGGGAGATCTCTGGGGGGACAGCAATGTGGGGTGAGGGTGGGAGGGGGACCCAAGAAGCTGCTGTCTCCTAAGTCAGGTCCTAGGCAGGCAGAGGGGCTCTGGGACAGCCTGGGGCTGCAGGTGAGCCACTGGGAGGGAACTGGGTCAGGTATAAAGAAACCAGCAGAGCCACCCCAGGGCGGCTGCCCCAGCTGGGGGGTGGGGGTGGGGGTTGTTGGAGGAGGGAGTACAGGCAAGGGGCTAGCTGGAGTCCCCTCAACTTGGCCTCAGCTTCCTGCTATTACCAAAGCCCCTTGCCAGAGGCCCCCTGGCTGGCCCTGAGTGGGCACAGGTGGGTCTGTCCCAAGGCCAGTTCCTTTCTCTCAATCACAGCGGCCTCGGGCTGCCGTCGGAGTTTGTCCTGCCCTCAGAGGAAGTGGGTGCTGGCCCTGGATCCAGAGAGGAGGGGCCCCCAGGTGAGAAAGTGAGGGGAGAGAGTGGGGAAACTGCTGTGGCCACCCTCTAGTCCCCTAGGGACTGGGGCTCACTCACAGTTCCCATTGGAGGAGGAGGAGGACTGAGGGTCCCCCAGTCCACGCTGCCTGTATCAGGTGGGGCGCCTCCAGGGCTGCTTATAAGAGAAGGTGCAGCAGCCTGGCTGGAACTTCCCTCCCAGCAGCCAATGCTCCAGCAGCAGTGGCAAGCTCCAGGCCAGCCCCACCAGCCTGAGCCTTCTCACCTCTGGGCAGGGATGGTGACCGCAGCCAGGGGGAAGAGTCTCAGAGGCTCCTTTATTGTACCGCCTTTGGCCTGGCTTCCTAGGATTCCCTGAGTGGCCTCTTTGGGGGAGGGGAGGAGTCGTCCCTGCTTACCTCCCCTGTCTCCCTCTCTCCCCTCTCAGAAGGGTTTGCTTCTGCCCCCTTTCCTGGGACATCATCAACTCTCCCACCACAGGGCTGGGCACACAGGATGCTCAGAAGAAGGAGCGCTTGCTTGCCTTTGGCTTGTACTGTTTTTGCCAAGGGGAATAGGGTGGCCAACCCTAAATGCCACCTGACTGAAACTGAACCTGGTGGCCAGGGTGGGGCTAGGGGTCAAGGGACCTGGAACTGTCCCGGACACAGCCACTTCCTGGCTGTATGAGCTTCGTCCTGTCACTAAACCTCTCTGAACCTCTGTTTGTACTAAGGGCAAATGGAGGTGTCCATGCCTGCCTTCCAAGCTGCTGGGAGCTTAACCCTGGGTACAAGCCTTTGAGCAACAGCCCACAGGACTGTTAGCCCCTTTGGGACTGCGTCTTACCACACTTTGTCCCCAGTGTCCGGCATGGTGACCAGCCCACACCAAGTGCTCAATATGTGTGACTAGAGTGCATGGGGAGTGACAAGGCTGTAAAACACCATCCATGGCAGGAGCTCCTCTGTTCTGGGGGTCCCTGGCCCTGCCTGGTAGCCTGCCCTAAGCTCTGAGCTGCTGCCTAATAGAGGGGGGTCCCCACATGCTCCCCAGTGCCCCCATGCCATGCCATCCCCACATCCTGTCCCCTCTGTTCTGCACCCACTTTCTTTTTTTTTTTTTTTTTTTTTGAGGCGGAGTCTCGCTCTGTGGCCCAGGCTGGAGTGCAGTGGCTGGATCTCAGCCGGGCGCGGTGGCTCAAGCCTGTAATCCCAGCACTTTGGGAGGCTGAGATGGGCAGATCACGAGGTCAGGAGATCGAGACCATCCTGGCTAACATGGTGAAACCCACTTTCTTCTGAGATCCCTTCTCAGCAACGACCTCCTCCTCATCTCCAGCCTCCCCATCTCCTGCCCCCCCAACCTGAACCTGGGGACCACGTTTCCATCCATGACCTACACCCGCTCTGGCTACACTGTGTCTCTCTCCTCCTGCCCGTTGTCCACATGCTCAATTCGCACCCTCACTTCACTCCTGACCACTGCCCTCTGCCTTCAGCACCCCCCCACCCCCGACCAGCTGAGCTTCTAGTGGCCACTTCAGGTAAGTGTTATAAGGCCTTTCTCTCACGTGACCTTCCTGTGCGTCCTTCTTCTGGACACTTCTTGTCCTCTGAGGCAGCACTCTCACGCTTCTCTTCCCTTTGTCTGGCACCTAAATCCAGGTGGGTCCCAGCTTTTCTTCACCCTACTACTCCCCAAGTGGCCCCCCACCCCAACCTCAGTAAGCAGCACCACTGTCTGCCCACGAGTGCCAGCCGGGAATCTAGAACTTAACCGGATTTCCCTCCCACCTCCCTCGGCCCCCAGGCCCTGCCCATCCACCTCCCAAACCTCTGTTACCATCACATGACCACAAGACCACCAAGAGCTTCGGCCGTGCTTGAAGCCCTGGCCACAGGGATTTTTTTCTCAATCCCACTCCTGTCTCTGCTAAAAGCCTCACAGCAGCTGCAGGATAACGTGCACATTCCTGGCAAGCGCCCATGAGGCCCTGCCCGGGTGGGCACCCACTCCCAACCCTAAGCTCCACTCCTGAGCCCCAGCCCCATGTCTTCTCTTGCTGGCCTCCTATCCAAGAGGGCGACTCCCCCAGGAACGTGGCTATGCCTCAGTCCTCTCCAGATCCCAAGGCTCACCAGGGTTTGGCAGGTATTCAGCTAGTTCATGCCTGATGAACGAGTGAATGGGCCTGGAGGATCATGGTGGGAAATGCCGCCTGGGACAACTAAGGGCAGGGGTGCGGTTCCCTTGGCGGGCAGGACTAACTCCCTACCCTGGACTTTGTTGGGGGTGGAGCGCCAGGGAGACCCACAGCTGCCTCTTGAATAAAGCTCTGTGCAGGGAACGTGGTATTATTGCACCCATTGCACAGGGGAGGAAACAGGACCAGAGATGCAAAGTGACTTGTGGAGGTCACACAGTGAATTAGGGCCACAAGCGGGGCCAGGGAGCTGCCTGTCTCTGGCCAATGTCCTAGATGCCCCCCTGGGTAAGTCCCCTGCCCCCATCACCTGTGCCCCTCCCCCCAGATGCCACTGCAACTAGGAACCTGCTGGGAGCTGGAGGAAGAATGGGTAGAGGGGCCACCTGGCAGGTGCTCTGGCAGCCGAGGTGATCTGTCTTCTCAGGAGATGTCAGGACCTGGGCAGTCTCCTTCCTCTTTGGTCCTGGGGCCTGGGGTGGTGGCCCTTGGGCAGACTTACAGAGCCCTGGCTCACAGGTAAGGGACTGCCACACCTCTGCCCTTTTCAACACGCACTCTCTGTGCACTCTGTCTGAGCCAGACCCTGGGTCAGATGCGAGGTTCAAAGAGCAAGGCCATTCCCCCACCTCCAGGGGCTCTGCTCAGACGGGCAGGCATCCTCCCACCGTCACCAGCACAGAGAATGTGGAGAGGCCAGGAAGTGCGCCACCGGGAGCCTGCGCAGGAAACTGAGGGGCGCTGGGGGAGAAGAGGGCTGGCATCCAGCCACCTATCCCAGAGAAGCTGCCTGGCCCGCTGGCAGCAGCACGAAACAGGAACCAGCCGCGGTCCCCAGCCCCGCCCGTCGGGTGCCGTTCTCCATCCTGGCCGCAAGGCGGCGGGCTGCCGCTGCAGGAGCCGGAGAGAAGGCGGCGCAGATCCAGGGAAGCCAAAAGAGGACTACCTAGAGAGTCTGGGTGGACCCTCTGTTACTGCCAAGCGCTTCGAAGTCTTACCTCGTTTAAGGCTCACAACCCTAATCCTTAGATATAGTGCTTACACCAGAGGACGCTGGGCCTGGGGGAGCGTCCTCGCGTGTAAGTTAAGTGGCTGTCCGCAGCTGGCAGGTGACCCAGCAGAGTCCAATTCTCCTTTCCCCAGCCTCAAAACCTGAGCTCTGCATTGTAACGAGACGGGCGGAGGGAAGACCCAGCAGCGGGCCTACGTGTCTCCTTCGTCTGGGCATCCCGGACTCAGTCCTGGCACATGGTGGGCATCAATGTTCATGATAATGACATCAGGCACAGCGAAAGAAATTAGGGGCTCCCAAGGTTCAGAGGTCATCTGTCCACCCCCTCCCTTTGGGCTGAAGAACAAACCCAGACTCTGAGAGAGGAAGGGAACTGCCTCTAGATCATCACACGGCCGGTGGCAGATGGCAGAACGGTTCTGAGCATCCTTTCTTCCCCTCGGGCTGCCCCTCCCTGAAAAGTTCCTAAAGTTCAAAATGTCAGGGTCGCCCAGAGTGTTCTGGGGATGTAAGAGTGTTTATAAAACGTGCTCTATTTTCGATTTCCCAGATTAACACAACTGGATTCTGAAGAGGAAAAAAAAAGCAACCTTACTTAACCGGACGTCTTTCTGAAACAAACCCATCAGGAGTTCTTTAAAAAATAAAAAATAAAAAGGAACTGAAATTCTGGAAGCACCCTCAAAGGGAAGCAGACGCCAGACTTTCACATCCACCCTCTCATCTGACCCCAGGCTCCTGGGAGATGGGCAAGGCGGTTGAGCTGGCTGCAGGCCCGCAATCCCCCGTTCCATGCCCAGATGCGCTTCGGAATACAGAACAGCTGGGACTTGGAAAGATATCGTGAGGCACCCACCTGCTGTGGGTTACATTACCTCCCATCAGAGCTTGGGACAGCCGCCGGCTATCGCGCTCTTTTGCATTTCTGCAGCAAAATATGAATATTCACACAAGCGCGATAAATAAAGACCATCAACAGCCTCACATCAGTTCAAGCGCAATTTTGCCACCAATTGGATTACGAAAAACCTTTTGGGCTTCCAGGGAGCTTTGGAGCCTGGGAATTGCAGATGAGGGACGGGGGGCCTGCACTGTTTCGCGGCTGGGTAGAGGGAGCTCATCCGAAGTCTTCGGACAAAGGTGGGCGTCGTGCCCGATGCTGAGCGGAGCGGGTCTCCTCGCGCCCAGGCTCCCTGCAGGCGCGGTCCCCAGTGAGCCTCCCCACCTCCGCGCCCGGGGTCGTACCTGCTTGGTGCTCTCCTCCCGCGGCGGGCCGCGCACCTCCTAGATGGCCTCGTAGACGTTCTCTGAGTCGCTGCGCGCCAGGGGCAGCAGGCACACCCAGGACACCGCCACGCTGCAGGCCTTGAAGCTGCCGCTGCTTCCGAGGTGGCCGGCGGGAGGCGAGACGGCGGCGCGCGCCAGGTAGTCCAGGGACTGCGCGGGCCGCACGGGCGCCGCGGGCCTCAGGTACAGGCAGGCGGGCAGGCCGGGCGCCAGGCTGCTGCGCTGGGTCGCGGCGCCGCGCTGCGCAGGGCCGCACAGGGAGCTGGGGCCGCCTCGGGGCTCCGCCTGGGGGCCACTGGGGCCCGCTGACGCCGCCGCCGCGCTCACGAACCGGTAGTCATAGGAGAGCGGCTCGGGGGCCGCGGGGCCGGGTGGGGACCTGGCGGCGCGGCAGTGGCAGGGTTGTCCAGCGCAGGCAGCTCGCGCACGTACTGCGCTGGCAGGTAGAAGGGGCAGCCGCCGGGCTAGCGCCGCAGATGCCACAGGTGCTCGGTGCTGCGCCGCAGCGGCAGGTAGAGCTCATTGGGCGGGATGGCCACGCGGCGCGCGTTGTTGCCGGTGTACTCGAAGGCCTGCTCCACCAGCACGTACACGTCTCCCTGCACAGCCGCCGCCATCGCGGCCGCGGCGTTTTCCTGCAGGCAAAGGAGGAGGGCCGCGGAAGTCAAGACAACCCAGCCCGGAATAGCCCCGCACTCAGGCACAGACATGGGTTCGAGTCCCGATACTGCACTTGCCGTTCGCCTTCGGGTCTCAGTTTTCCCATTTCTAAAATGGGGACTTCCATAAAATCACATCTGAGGTATCCATTCTTACACTCACATCTAAGGTTTCTATTCTTACACTCAGTGCTGGAATTAGGACAACCCCTTCATTTCGTGGGGCTGATTCTAAGATTTGAGCCTCGCTTCAGTCCTGTGGTGGGGAGATTGTGGGGTAGTCTTGATCCAAATCGACTGCGAGGGAAACCTTGGCTTTAAAACGAGGGGTGATTGCCTGCTCTAAGGTCGACACCACGCTTGCTTAATAGTTGACTGAGCCTTAGTTTTCCCGTCAGTCAAGTGAGAAAAGCAGCCCATTTCCTGCCGTTCCCCGGGCCCTGTCCCATCTGGACGCCTCCCGCCCGCAGAGAATCCGCAGAGGGTCTCGTAGCACCGCCTCCCTCCGCGGGCCTGCGCCCCGGCCCCTGGGTCGGGGTTGGGATGCGGGCTCTGCAGGCGCCCCGGTGAACAGCTCTATTTGGAGGCTGTCCCTGCCCCGCTTAGTCCGAGGGCTTTGGTGTGGGGGCCTCCGCTGTCAAGGCGGGGGAACCGGTTCTCTCGGTTTCTCTCTCCTTCCGCAGCTGCTTCAGCGCAGACGTGACCCCTAGCCTGGCCCGCCCCGTCCCCTGCTCTCCGGCTCTCACGCCGCCCCCGAGAAAGGCTGCCCACCTGCCCTGGGACCCCTACAGTGCCCCCACGAGAGTGGCCCCTGGAGAATGCGCTCTGAGACAGTGACTATCGGTGCGGAGTCCCAGAGCAGGGCCCCCAGAGCTCTCCGGAGTGGTCACAAGCCCCACTCCCGCCCTGGCTCCAGTGTGTCAGGGATCGGGGACAGCCTAACTAAATCTGCCTGAGCCCCTCCACCAAAGCCACGAGTCAGTGGTCTTCGCCGGAAGTGCATGGCCCCTCCAGACTCCCACACTGACCACACCTCCTTCTGCCCCCTAAGGTGACGCGGACCAGGGGCCAGGAGACCGTCGCTGGCCGAGGCAGAGGAACCGAAGAAGCAGGGTCCAACCGGGTCCCCCGTAGGCCCCTTCGCCACTTTCTCAAGCGTTCCTTGACGAGGAAAGGGTGTACACTGAGTCACTACGCACACTGGGCCCCGGAGGCGGGGTCATGGAGCTGCCCTGAGCCAACAAACCCCAAGGTGGACCCCGCAGCGCACTCATGTCGGCTGGGCGGGCTTCAGGGAGCCCAAGGGCCCGTGGGCGGAGCCGGCAGGTTAGGCCCCTACCATCGCCCTGGGCGGGGATTCCAGGGGCCAGGCCGGAGAGGCTGCGCGGAATCGGAGCTGGCAACGGCAGCGAATAGGGACAGGGACGCTCAGGAGTGCTGTCGCCGATACCAAAAGCAGCTGTGTCTGGGTGGGGCGAGGAGGAGCCTGACTGCCTCTGCTGGGGACCTTGCGGGGCATTGGGACGAGGCCCAGAGCAGAAGGCCGGCGCCAGGAGCCAGAAAGGCTGCGTCTGAAGGGGCGCTGGCTGGTCGCTAGCGGAGCCCAAGAAGGGTGGGGCTGCCCCTGCCCCGTCTTCCCCCTTCCCTTCTCCCCCGGGGATTTGCTGTCCCGGAGTCCCTGCGTCCCTCCCGCGCGCGGCTCTGGGAATGCCGGGTTGGGGCTGGTTGTCTTGCGCGGGCGTTCCTGTTCGCGGGGAGGTTATTCGCACCCTGAATCACCCACTGCGAGCCCTTAAAACCGATTGCAGACCCGCCGCTCCGGGTCCACCTCTCCCACCGGGGCCTTTCCCCGCGCAGCCCGGCCGGGCCTGGAAAAACTCCGAGCGGGATTCCCAGCGCGGGGACGCCCAAGGGAGCGCAGTGTCTCGGGCTGGATAAGAAGGGGACCCGGCTACAGCTCCTTCGCCAACCTGGGGGAACACAGAGAAGGGGAGGGATTGGTGGGGGCCGGGAGGGTCCCTGGAGCACGAGATCGCACCCGTAGCCAGGAGGTCCCCTGAGTCCACCGCCCAGGCGACGCAAGCTACAGCGGCGTCAACGCCTGGGTCGGCACTGGAGGCCTGGGCCTGCTCCCCTCCCGCCTCCAGATGGAGGGCAGCCCTTCGCCTACCTTCTCCTTCCCGTGGGATGAGGCCTGCGCAGCTCCCGCCCCAGCACCGAGACAAGAGGAGCAGGCGCGAGGAGCTCCTTGGTGCGGACCAGCCACCTGCCGCACACTTTCCTCCCCATTCTGCCCCTTGCCCCACCCCCACCCCACCTCCCACCTCAACCCCCGCTCGGCGGCCCACTGCCTGCCCGGGCACTTCGGGGCGTCCGCTCGCCGGCCTCGCCTCCACTTGTCCCAGCGGGTGCGCGTGGGCTCGGTGTCCAGCGCTCCCTACTCCACCGCGCGGTTCCCGCGCTGCCCGGTTTCCTATTCAGCAATATAACCAGGAAGGCACCGGCGGAGAGCGCCTGGCAGAACTTCCTCCCGGACTGGGTCTGGGCTGCAGTTGCGAGAGACAATCCCCGGCGTCCTGGCTTCCTGTCCCCTCTGGGCCAAGCCAGTGCCTGAAAAGTGAAGACGCCACCCCCTCCTCTGCACTTCCCGGGATCCTGGGCCACACCTGGCTGTCTCCAGGGAGGAAGAGGACGCGGGGCTCAGATGGTGGGACTGAGGATAGCGGGAGCCTCCCCCGTGCAGCTTCTCCTGGCCAGGTTACCCTCCCACTATCCCCAACTCCCTCTTGATACTTGCGGGGGAAGGAGGGCCACCCTCCAATCTGTCCACAGGGTAAGCTCAGAACAACCTCCTAGAGGCCAGGAGTCTAGCACCAGGGCTGTCTGCCTTGGGGGTCTTCTGTTTGGGAATTTTCTGCCTCTCTGGACAAGCTGCCTCGCCCTGATCTGACCCTGCACTCACACCAGACATCACAAGCCACAGCCCCAGCAGACCCCTTGCCCTCAGAGGCCCCAAAGAACAGGTGTGCCTGTGGACCTGACTGTGTGTGCCGGGAGCTGGCTGATTCAGGCCAGTGTTCTGGGAGGGAGAGGGGCCTGCACCCCAGGCCATGGCCCCTCTTGACACCACCTCCTGGGGGTCCAGGGTTGGGTGGGAAGTTGAATCTGGCCACGCTAGTTATGGAACTCCCTTATCTCTGTATCTTTGCCCCTGCTAGGCGTTGCCACCCGTGAGTCCCCACTTCCTCTGAGAATCTCAGTGTGTCTGAGGCTTGGTGGCACCTTGGGACCCTCCAGGGTAGGCACACAGCAGAACTCAGCATCCGTCTTTGGTGCCCGACATGCTTAGAAAATAGTGACTGAAGGAATCTTCTCTCCCTCCCTACCTTTTAGGTGCCTCCCCACCTGCAGCACAGCCAGGCAGCGGTGATGGTTTGTGGTGGGGTCAGGCTGGTATGATGCCCCGCTCTGCTGCTTGGCAGCTGGTAGGCCTTGGGAGCTCTGCCTTATCTCTGCAGCTCAGCTTTCTTTCCTATCAATAGTAACACTCACTTCACTGGATTATTGGGAGGATTAAATGAGGTCCACTAAGCAGAGCTTACCACATGCCCAGCGCACACAATATACCAGCTATTTATTTATTTATTTATTTATTTATTTGAGATGGAGTCTGGCTCTGTCGCCCAGGCTGGAGTGCAGTGGCACGATCTCGGCTCACTGGAACCTCCATCTCTGGGTTTAAGTGATTCTCCTGCCTCAGCTTCCTGAGTAGCTGGGATTACAGGCCCCTGCCATCATGCCATCAAAATACAAAAAAAAAAAAAAGCTAATTTTTGTATTTTTGTAGAGACGGGGTTTCACTATGTTGGCCAGGCTGGTCTTGAACTCCTGACCTCAAATGATCTGACTGCCTTGGCCTCCCAAAATGCTGGGATTACAGGCATGAGCCACAGCGCCCACCAATATCAGCTATTATGACACTTATATTATGTGATGAGCTCTTGGGGGTTGGATTGAAATCTGCAAACCACCCCTCCTTCAGGCAGAAGAGAAGGGGAAGTCCTAGCTACTCATGAGGCTGAGGCAAGAGAATTGCTTGAACCTGGGAGGTGGAGGTTGCAGTGAGTTGAGATCACGCCACTGCACGCCAGCCTGGGCAACAGAGTAATTCCATCTCAAAACAAACAAACAAACAAAAAAGTTGGGGAGAAGCGGAAACAAGTGCCCTCAGAGGCGCTTTGCTGAGGATGGAGAAGGGCTGAGCCCACTGGCAGTGCAGAACCAGGTCACGTGCCGTGGCCCTCCACTGGGCCTCCCTCCCCCAGTTTCTCTTATCTTCTCTGGGCCTACCATCTACTGTCCTTGGGGGAAGCTGCGGCACCTAGATGGGCAGAGGATGCCAACTTGTAATCTGAAAGGGCCTTCAAGGACAGGAAATCTCAGATCTGAATGTTGTCTGTTTCCATCTCATTTTATCGCAATCTGATTTCCCTGAGAATTAGTCTGTTTCCGAGGGCGCCTTCGGGAAGAATCCTCACAGGCCCAAGCCCTCCCCAGGCCAGGCTCCTGCCCACTCAGGGATGGGGCAATGAGGGCTCTGACGAGGCCAACTCTGATGGAGAGTTAATGTGGGCCATGGCAGGTGCATAACCCAGCTCCCGGCTTAGGAGGCATTGGCATCTGGGCACGGGTGTGCGCCATGACCCGGAAAAGCTGTGCGCAGCCTCCACTTGCCTGCCACTGCCGCCTCTGTTCTGCTGCACAGGCATCCAGCTCCAAGGCTGGGTGGGTGACTCAGCAGCCGATCGCCCCCAGGGAGGGGTGAGGGTGGGCTCATCTCTGACAGTGACAGGCAGATCTCCAACTGAGGCCTCAGACTCCAAGCTGAGCGCAGGTAAGACAGCTGGGACTGAGGGCCTGCTGGGTCCAGGAGAGGTGGAGGATGGCGACAGACAGACCAGCAAACCCACATTTCCCCAAAGCCTGGAGGGTCTGAACTTCACTTCAAAAACAATTCCAGGCTCCCACCCCAGCCCCAAGGCCCCTTCAAAGGCAGTCCTGCTCTGGGGAAGTTCTTCAGTCTCCACGTCCTGGCTGGGCAAGTTCAGTGATGCTGTGGGAATTCATGGCTTTGTGAGGCCACGGCTGCATCCACAGGGCAGCTCCCCTGCAAGCCCCGCACAGCTTAGGGCAAAGGACTGGGTCACTTCTCCACAGTGCAGGGCCGGGCTGCCTGCCCTCTCTGGGGTCCTGCTTGTCTGTGCCCTGGCAGGGGTCAGTCAGGCAGAGAGTGTGACCCCGGGGCACCCACCAAGGTAGGCCTGGAGCATCTGCAGCAGCACCCCTGTCTGTAGAGGAGGATCGGGGGTAGGCAAGACAGCGACCCTCCCTAAACCGAGGAGGGCTCAAAGTGCTGACAGTGCTGGTTTCCAGTCATTTCTCCTTCTCCGAATGGGGCCAAGGCCCCGGGCTAGAGAAGAGCTAGGGGCTCTGACGCTGAGAAAGGGGTGGGCTCAGCCAGCGAGAGTGGGGAGTAAAGAGGAGACAGAGAGGAAGCGGGGTCACCAGGACCTGCTGAGGGGCGGTCTGGCACTGGCAATGAAGGCCAAGGAAAGGCACCGGGTGGGTCCTGTCCCAGCAGTGGCCTGCCCGCCAGCCACCCACTGCCTCTAGGCCAGGCCTGAATGACTCCTGTGCATCCGCTGGGGGTGAGAATGCCCGGATTTCATGGGTGACTTATGTAGAGTCAAGAATAAAAAAATACTTTCTGTTGAAATATGAATGGGAAAAACTCACCTTATAAAACAAGACCTTTTAATCAGGAATGTGGAATTGAAAATGCTCCCCAAGTCCCCTTTCCACAGTGTTTGGGCAGCCCTAACGGAGGTGCCGGGACGCTGGTGAGCCAGGGCCTGGTGAGTGAAAGGCCCTGTCTGCCCGGAGACAGGGAGCATCTGGCGGTAGCCACGCCTCCTGCAGCAGAGGGGTGGTGAGGGGGCCAGGGGACATCAGAGGGACTCCTGGGCTTTCTCTGGGAGGCCAGTGCTCTGGTCACATTTGAGGGTCTTCCTGACAAGGGGACACAGCTGTGACACGGTAAGTATCCTGGGCTGATGGCAAACCCAGCTGGGATGGCTGAGCCACACTCACCCCCAGCCTTCAGAACGGGGTCAGCAGATGGGCATCAGGTGAAGACGTTCTGTTCCTGGTACTTGCGCCGGCGGGCACAGTGGGGGCAGCCCTTCTTCACCACAGCCTGGCAGCTCTGGTGGAAGATAGTCTTGCACTCGGCACACCTGGGGAGAGAGCAGCACGACTGCTGGTGCCAGCTGGGCTGGAGGTTGCCCTGTGGCCACGCTGGCCAGCACTTTTGACCAGAACCCACGATACGTCTGTGACGTACTGTGTAACCCACGCACGCATGCCGTGCCTCTCCGTTCCGGAACAGGAGATTCTCGAAACAGTGCTTACTGATATGTCACACAATGCACACTGATTTTCTCTGTACTATTGCAGTTTTTATAAATGCTGCTTGAAATTCATTAAGGATTTATCATATTTAAAAACATTTACTTATTTATTTTTAAGACAGAGCCTCACTCTGTTGCCCAGGCTGGAGTGCAGTGGCACGATCTCGGCTCACTGCAACCTCTGCCTCCCGGATTCAAGCAATTATCCTGCCTCAGCCTCCCAAGTAGCTGGGATAACAGGTGCCCACCACCACACCCAGCTTACTTTTGTGGTTTTAGTGGAGACGGGACTTCACCATGTTGGCCAGGCTAGTCTCGAACTCTTGACCTCAAGTGATCCACCCGCCTTGGCCTCCCAAAGTGCTGGGATTACAGGTATGAGCCACCGCGCCCGGCCAAGACTGTATAATTTTAAAAACTCACCCCCAGGCCCATTCAGGGCTGAATCCAGGCCAGTGATCACTGACAGAAAAAGAACTAATGTTCCCAGTTCAGTTTTCCACTCCCATGTGGGTTGAGGAAGGTCTGGATGAATTTCTCCACTGAGAGGTTGCTGATAATGAGCGATAACTGGGAACAAGAGTGATCATTTCAGCAACAGAGGCAGTGGCAGTGGCAGGTACCACCCACCAGGTGCCCACTTTGTGCCTGGTCTCATGCCAATAGTGCAGAGCGGTAACTCATACAGCCCTCCTCAACCCAGGCATACACTGAGGCACCAGGAGGCTCCACTCAGAGAGCCAGCAGCCACCTCTTCTTTAGGAAGACGGATGGTTCCATAAAGGCAGAGGAGTCCTGGGAGAGCTTGTCTTGCCCCCTGAGCTGGACCGGAGCTGCCCATGACTGCCCAGGGCATGGACTGCCCCGAACAACAGCACCACCCCTTGGCACGACACAGATGTTCAATACGTTCCTGCCCATAGAGCGAGGCCTGCTGCCCTGCGTGCTTGGGCCAGGCTGTGGGTGTGGAGAAGGGTGGGGCTGGGAGGTAGCTGGCTGGGTGTCCCACATACCTGACTGTGGTGTCAAACTCAAAGGGGAAGATGATGTCGTGGTGCTGGCAGATCTGGCAGATGAAGCCGCGCTGGGTGCACAGGTCGCAGTGGTAGACGTGCTGGAAGGCAAATTCTATCAGGGCTTTGAGGAATCCTTCATACATCCCGTCTGCAATCTGCGGAGGGCAAGTAGGAATCCTTCATACACCCTGTCTGTGATCTGTGAGGGGCTGGTAAACTGAGGCCCCAGGCCTTTCAAGCACCTGCACTGAGGCACCATGGCACCCTGCCTGGAGAACTTCTAGCCCCAGTTTCCAAGTGGGCAAGAAAAGAAAACCTCCCTGAGTCAGGCTGAGCAGTGCCAGCGTCCAGCCCATGGGCACTGAGGTCACTCAGGGCTAATGGGACTCACAGATGAGACCCGACTCCACTGTACCCTTCCCCCGGGGAAAGGAGTATTCCAGACTCTCTTCCTGTGATCCTGGGGTTGCTGCAGTGCTTGTTTATTCCAGGGTGCCGGGGGTATCTGTCCCTGCCCAGGAAGCTGGGGCAGCAGGGCAACCCACCCTGAGCTGCAGAAAAGCTGCGGACTGCTGTCTTCAGTAAACTACAGACACCCCTCCCATCTTCCCTGCTGACTTCTCCGGGAATGAGGTCTCTCTGGAGGTCTGGGCGGGGGAAACATGACACTCTCACCTGCTGGAGGTCAGCAACACTGAACCTATGCAGAGACTCCAAGAGGTAATTCCTGTGGTTGAGCCTTCAAACAAAACACAAGTGATTCTTTAGGGAGGTTTCCAAGACCCGGGCCAACCTGTGTTGTTTGTTTTCATTCCCCTGGCGCTGCTCACCAGGCAGACACCTGCCGCCTGGGCGGGGCAGGGGCTAGGAGTGCAATTCAGCTTGCCTGGGCTTGGGACCTAGTCCTCAAGGTAACTAACTAGCTGGTTGGATCTTGGGCACATTACTTAACCTCTCTGAACCTTGGGTTCCCCTGTCTGGGAAATGGAGTTGTCTGGATTGAGTAATTTATTTAAAGCATTTGACTTGGTGCCAAGCTCCCAGTAAACATGTAATTAATCATAAGGAGGAGGACGGGTGCTGACACCTGGGACCAGGAACTGGGCTAAGAGCTTCATACGCATTCATTCATTTGATCCTCACAATAATCCTGTGAGGCTGGTACTATCACAATCCCAATTTTGAGAAGAGGAAACAGAGAGGTTAAATCACTTGCCTGAGGTCACACAGCTAGTAGGTAGGACAGCCGAAGATTGAACACAGGGGCCTGGCTCCTGAGCCTGCACACTTGTCCACCTGCTAAATACCTAGAGATGCAGGCTGTTGTCATTATTGCCACCATCACATACCAGGGACACTGCTGGGGACAGCAATGCACAGGATATGGCCTCTGCCTTCCTGTGGCCCCTGGTTTGGCCGAGGGACAGACATTCAAGTGTCTGGTTTCAGTGCTACACGAGAGCAATTGAGATGTGTCCTAAGTACAGCAGATCCCATTTCAGAGGTAGCAGGGGCAGCAGAGGACAAGGGCTCAGCCACCAATGTGGCTCTAGTTTCCACCACACCAACGGCAGGGATCCAGGGGGCCCCATCCTGAGAGATAGAGAGGAAACACCTGCAGAAAGTCCCCTGGTACAAAACCTGCCTGGCCTGGCTGCGTGTGTTTGGGTGGGTACTGGCGGTGGGAGGTTACTCCAAGTCAGAGGATGCTTGGGAACCTGCCCCAGGATGCCCCAGACATCTGGGGACAGGATGGTGCCAGCCCTGGGTCTGGGCCTCCCGGGCGCAAGCTGTGGAGCATCTGGAATGGGGGCTTGGCCTTGTCCCAGCTGGTGGCCTCAGCTGTGGTCCAGGAGAGCCCAATCTGGGGTAGAAACGGTGAGTCCCATTAAGCAGCCACAAAGGCCAAGATGCCAACTGGCCCCTTGGTTTACCATACTGGTGTCCCCACTAAACTTCCTGCACTCTAGGAAGGGAAGCTGCCATTTGTTACCAAGAAAACATGGGACACAGCGGGTTGGGGGGACACAGGTTGGCCCTGAGCTGGCAGGAGTGTGGGCTGATCTGGATGGAGAATTAGCTTTGCCATCTGTCCTCTGACCATAGTCGTGGAAGCCCTGGGAGCCCCTGTGTCCTGGGCCTGTCACCCTCTCAGCAAGGACTGGTTTCTCCGCAGTGCTCAGTCAAGGCCAGAGGGGAGAGAGCACTGACCCAGGGGCGAGAAGTCACTTCCCCTCCTGGCCTCCAGGAGAGAAACTCTGGTGCACCGGGGCACAGCCAGGCCTACTTGGGGCCTCAGTTTCTCCACCCACACAATGAGAACCCTCTTTGTCCTCTGGTGTGAGGCTGGCTACCTGAGAAAGAGACCAGAGGAATCTGGAGGGCTCTCCGGGAGAGAGGGGAGAGGTCGAATCTTAGCTCCTGGAACCCATGAAGTGACAGGGAAAGAAAGGGCCAGGCAAGGGCTGGAAGTTCAGGGGCACATGGATGGGGGACCTGGGTGCCACCTGTCTCCTGAGCCCCGACTCCTCCTCTGCCCACCCCTCCCTGGCTGTCGGGAGGGACACCTAGGTCTGGTGGGTGGACAGGGTGTGAGGCATTTCTGTGATGGCTTCCTCTCAAGGGCTGGAGAGGACACTCTTAGGGGCTTCTCTGGCCCTTGGAGACATGTCCGAGGTCTGCCGGAGAGAACCCGGCCAGGCAGCTGCCACTAGTGCAATACAGTTCCTCCCTGACTTCCCGTCCCACATTCAAGACCTGCCCATGCCTCAGCCCTTTCTTCCGCTCAGCCTCCCCTCTGGCTGACTCAGTCCAGGCCCAGCTCCCTGGGTTAATTACACCAGCCGCCACCCAGGGCTCTCCCCTTCACCTACTGCACTCCACTGGGGCCAGAATGGTCTTTTTGTTTGTTTGTTTTTGTTTTTGAGACAGAATCTCGCTCTGTCTCCCAGCCTGGAGTGTAGTGGTGTGATCTTGGCTCACTGCAACCTCTGCCTCCTGGGTTCAAGCGATTCTCCTGCCTCAGCCTCCCTAGTAGCTGACATTACAGGCGCCCACCACCACACCCTGCTAATTTTTGTATTTTTAGTAGAGATGGGGTTTCGCCACACTGGCCAGCCTGGCCTCACACTCCTGACCTCAGGTGATCCGCCCACCTTGGCCTCTCAAAGTGCTGGGATTACAGGCATGAACCACTGCCCCTGGTCTTTTCAGAGTGGCCTTTTGTAAACTGCTGATCAGAAGTGACAGCCCCGTGCTCACAACCCTTCAATGGTTCCCCACAGGTGGCAGATCAAATCCAAAGTCGTCGAGGGCCCTCTGAGTTCTGGGCCCTGCACCCGAAGCCCAGCTGCCCAGAGCCCCTTAGGGCCTCGGTGAGCTGTGCTCCTGCCTGCCTGCTGCTACTGGTCCTTTAGCCAGGAAAGCCAGGTTCTCCCCTGCCCTTTCTACTCTTCCCTCATTTTTCTAAACCCCAGTTCAATAGACACACGATGTCACTTGTGTTGTGGCAACACGTGTGTGTGGATGGAGTGAGGTGCAGAAGCAGGTGGTGGCGGGCTCTGAGAAGGGCTGATTGAACGGTCTGCTGTATTCCCTTTCATAAATGCCCCTCACTTGAAACACTGACCTTTGTAAAGAAGAAAAACATTTTAGAAGAAAAAAGGAAAAGAACTCTGCGTGCCCTCAGCTCAGATGCCATCTCCTCTGGGAGCTCCTCTGGCCCCTGCCAAGGCTGGATCAGGTGCCCTCAGGGCACACACAATGCTGACCCAGCGCCATCTGTGGCCCAGACTCTAGGTCCCTCACGCAGCCCTCACCACTGTTCAGGAGGCCACAGGAATGGAGGAATCACTGGCCCATTTTATAGATGGGAAAGCTGGACCCAGAGAAGTGAAGCAACTTTCCTGACGCACAGTGGCTGAGGGGCTCCCGTACTGTTTCCCCTGCCCCACGCTGTTTCCATGGGACTTCCACAGGCACGGCCCTTCCCTGGGCAGCAGGCTGAGCGCATGGCAGGAGTACAGCGCTGCTGCCCAGGGACGGAGCAGGAGGGCCAGGGAGAGAGCGACAGGGCTGCCGCTGGTGCCCGAAGAGACAGGTGAGTAAAGCCGATGAAGAAACTCTCTCAGCAGGGTGGGGACGGGTGAATGGGGCTGGGGCCCACAACCCACCCCACAGGCACCTGGTCTACACAGGTCTGCAGGCCTGTGCAGGTACCTGGCTCCTTGACCAAAGAGGGTGATGAGGCCCCACCCGACCCCAGAGATTTCAGCACCTGGTTAGGTGGGCAGGAGGACAGTCTCTCTGGACTCTCAGAGGTAGGGAGAGTCAGCGCTTGCCAAGAGGTGGAGACCCAGTCACCCGCGGATGCTTGGGATGGGCAGAGCCTCCAGGGGTGAAGCCTTCTAGGGTCTAGGGTCCCACATGGTGGTCCCCAAGGGGCTTTCTGTTCTTCCAGGCCCTGCAGAGGAGACCAAGGCTCAGCTGGCAGCTGTGGGGCCAGATTCTCCTCTTTGCCTAGGGGACAGCCCCCTGCAGTACCCCTTGAGAGCCCCTGGGGACCTGCTCGGGGCACACCCTGGTCCTGAGGAGGCCCGGAGCTGGGAGCACTGCAGCCAGGATGGAAGAGGCAGTCTTCAGAGAGGCGCTCTCTAGGCCAGCCCTGTGGCGAGGGAAGGCCAGACGGAGGAACCTGGAGGGGCTTGTGAGCTGGTCCCTGCCCCCAGAAACCCAGAAGAGGCGGACTCGAAGCCCATGCTGGGCAGTAGGCACCAGCAGGCATCCGCTGAGGTCTGCCCTCCTGAGGGTGCCGGGAGAGCACAGCCCTGGGAAGACTGTGGCCTGGGCTGTGACCTGAGGACTAGGAAGCATTTATGACAGGTCACGGAGAGGCCTGAGTCCCTGTTGAAGCCCGGCATCACATCCCATTCCTGAGCACCAAAGGCCCTAGGCCCTGGGTAAGAGAAGCTTCCTGAAGGGCATCCTGAGGGCCTCGCCCCAATCGTGTCCTCTTTGGAGAATTTCAGGCGGGAGGCCGCCATGGGCCAGACGACGAGCTGGACAGGGAAGAGGCAGGAACATCTGGCCCTTGCCTGCCTCTCGCCAGACTCCCCGCTTTCCTCCACACTGTCGCCAAAGTTCTCCCTGGGCTTTCCACCGGTGCCTTCGCTCATGGCCTATGCATGCTATTCCTTCTGTCTGGAATGCTTTTTCCCCCTTTGCTTCCCCTTTCTAATTCTTCATTTTTCAGGTCTCACCTTAGAAGTCACTTCTTCCAGGAAGTCCTTCCTGCTTTGTCCTCCTCTAATCTGGACTAGATGTCAAGCCTCCGTGCCTCCAGGATGTCCTTCCTGCCTCTCACCCTCACCCCCGGATGGAGTTCTGGCTTTCTCACCTATCTCCCTCTCACCCTCACCCCTGGATGGAGTTCTGGCTTTCCCACCTATCTCCCTCTCACCCTCAGCCCCGGATGGAGTTCTGGCTTTCCCACCTCCGGATGGAGTTCTGGCTTTCCACCTATCTGCCTCTCACCTCAGCCCCGGATGGAGTTCTGGCCTCACCTATCTCCTCTCTCACCTCAGCCCCGGATGGAGTTCTGGGCTTTCCCACCTGTCTCCTCACCCTCAGCCCCGGGATGGAGTTCTGCCTTCCCACCTGTCTCTCTCACCTCAGCCCCGGATGGAGTCTGGCTTTCCCACCTATCTCCCTCACACCCTCAGCCCCGACAGGAGTCCCGTCCCACCTGTCTCCTCTCACCCTCAGCCCCGGATGAGTTCTGGCTTTCCCACCTGTCTCCTCTCACCTCAGCCCCGGATGGAGCTCTGGCTTTCCCACCTGTTCCTCACCTCAGCCCCGGATGGAGTTCTGGCTTTCCCACTCCGTCTCCTCTCACCCTCAGCCCGGATGGAGTTCTGGCTTTCCCCACCTGTCTCCTCTCACCCTCAGCCCCGGATGGAGTTCTGGCTTTCCCACCTGTCTCCCTCTCACCCTCAGCCCCGGATGGAGTTCTGGCTTTCCCACCTGTCTCCCTCTCACCTCAGTCCCGGATGGAGCTCCTGCTTTCCCACCTGCCTCTCTCACCCTCAGCCCCGGATGGAGTTCTGGCTTTCCCACCTGTCTTCCCTGCCAGTTCAGAGGCTTCTGGAGGGTCAGCCCTGGTTCTGGCCTGCTTAGTGCTGCAGCCCACACGCCTCGCCAGGTGTGCAGAGCTTAGTATGTTCTCAGTCCATGTTTTTGAATGAGCAAATGGATACATGAACAAAACCCCAACAAAATCATCCACAAAAAATGTGATCATTTCCCAGGCCCAATGGGAAGATCTCTGCCCAGGTTTCTTCCAGGTGGACACCTTGCCCTGGGCACTGCCCGTGTGTGTGTGTGCGTGTGCACGAGTGCCTGTATGTGTGTGCATTTGTGCGCATGTGCATGTGTGTGCATGTCTGTGCATTTGTGTGAACATTTATGTGTGTGGGTATGTGTACATGTGTGTCTGTGTGTACATGTGCGTGTGTGTGTGTGTTCGTGCGCATGCACATAGAGGTTGCTCACCTCTTGCTGAGTTCCTTCAGGGCGCCGCTCCGGCACAGGCCCAGGTAATCCCCCAGGAGCTTCAGCTGCTCCCAACTCCTCCTGATGAGGTGCATCCGCTCCACATGCTCATACAGAGACGCGTTCACCATCTGCAGGTTGATGAGGGGCTGGGCCCAGATCTGCGTCAGAAACTTCAGGTCCTGTCTGCAGATCTGGGGGTAGCACCAGGCATTGGGGATGGGAAGGAATGGCTGCTCAGTGAGCACTGCCCGGCCAGGTGCCACATGACCTGCTCACTTACCTGAGAGGCTATCTTCATTTTACAGATGGGGAAACTGAGGCTCAGGGAGATGAGGGGATTTGGCTAGGGTCACCCAGCTTGTACAGTCAAGCTCCGAACCCAGTTTATCTGACTCCCTAACCCACTCTCCCTCTAATGGCGAGGGTCGCTGCTCCTCCCCAACCATACTGAGATGAGGGAGGGACTGCTCTGGCTAATGCCCCCTCCCTCTGGGCCTCGCAGATCAGGGTCTCTGGGTTGAGGAACCCTCGGGGCTCCTTCCCCCAGAGTTGTTTCCTGGCCACGCCAGTGACCCCATCCTATTCCTAGGGTCGGAGTGCCACAGCAGACACATCTGGGCTGAGGGCTCCCTGTGACCTTCCTCCCTCTCCCACAGGGGCAGCCTTCCAAGTTTCCCACCCCCGAGTACACAGTGGAGCTGAGGGAGGCCACTCTCTTGGGACCCCAAAGACAAATCCAGTAGGAAGAATGTGCTGGAAGTGAGTGGCGGGGGTGGGGAGAAGGAGGGAAGGGGCTTAGTGATGCCTGCTGGCCCTCTGACGACTATTGACCTGGAAATGACCTGGCGGGATTTGACCCTTAATTCTCTATGAGCCAACACTGAGTGCAGCTTTTGGCTGTATTAATAGAGGTGGGAATCCAGAGCCAGAGAGGTGATACTGGTGCAGTTGTTGGCAGTGCTCTGGGACCCTTACTGTAGGCAAGCCCCAAGAAGGAGGACCTGGGAGGAATTGGGGCTACCATTCTCAGGGCTCAAGGCCAACGCTGGGCCCCCGAGGGGACCTATCCTGTGCTTCTAGCATCACAGATTCTGCAGTTCCCTCCCCAGGAGTTGAGTTAATAATAATCCTTGCCCTGGAGGGTGGAGAGGAGTAGGGCCTCTGGGAGAAGAAATTCTCATGCCTAGAATGGCAGCCCTCGTCCCAGCCCCGAGAGAGACAGGAGGCTCCGTGTCCTTGACTGCTTACTGTGACAGGCCTGGTTGGGAAACCTCTTTCTCCCCAGATCCCCTTCCCTGCCCCTGAGCCAGAGCCCCATTTCTGACTGGACTGCATCCCCAGTGAGTAAACCAGGGCAGTGGGCAAGAATACCAGGCTACCCCGGCAGGAAGGGTACGCCCAGGGCCACACCCTTCACTGTCCAT